GGACATAAAGCAAAAACCGCAACAATTTAAATTAAAGCTGCCTAAATAAATATTTATTCTTAAAGATGGAGTCGGTAGAAATGTTGGCTGCAGCTTGTAAACACAACATTCAAATGTGGCCCCTCCTCCTGGGCTCATCGCCCCCTGCAGGACGTAGTGTGTACATTTACTGCTTGTAGCTACACTGCAAGCTAGCACACAAGCTAACCTGCCTGTCCAACAGGAAGTAGACCAACTCCACGTCCACGGGTAAAAGACAACACAAGGTTCACCCTCGTTTTAGAACGAGCTTTATCCACTTGGTGCCTTGCCTCACTGCTATTGGTTAAAACTACAGCAGCCATGGCAACGACATTGATTGACATATTTAAAGACAAGTCAGTGTTGTTAGCATGGTGTGTTGTTTTGGTTAAACCCGGGACATATTAGTGATTTATAGATATTTGTGGGGACTCAGGACTCAGAGCTTGTAAACGGGTCCCGGGTCAAATCAGGACGTGTGGTGGTCACCCTATTAATGCTAACTGTTGCCAATGCGTTAGCTTGTTGCACGGCTCCAAAAGAAGAAGTGCAGCTTATACAGCAGTTTTTAAAGAATACAGCTGAAACATATCCACCTCCATTCAGCACACACTATCTATACTGTACCATAAAATAAAGCAGAACATAACAAAGTGTTTTCTTGAAGCATTTATTGGAAAGAGTCCTTAAAAAATGAACATGTCTTTGATATCTCTACGTTTCCACCTTTCAAACAACCAATAGAACAAATACTGAAGGAAACATCAAATGATGAACACCGGGATGAGAAATCTTTTACAAAAACACCCATGAGAGGTGGACACTCTGTCTCCTCTCTACTGAAGACGTCTCTCTCTTCTAGTCGTAAATAAGTGTCCTCTGAACAGACTGACCTTCACCTGTTCATGTATATTCTTTATGTACATTCTCCTGGAACAATAAAATAAAAACGTTTGCAGGAGTGAAAGTAGAGCTCACCTCTGATCTTTCCAGCCAGTTGCAGATGAAAGATGCTCTTTCTTCCATGGAGGCGTAGGATAAGATATTATGAAATATTTAAGTGGATTGAAAATAGCATGCTCCTCCAGGCTGTGTGTTGAGTCCCCAAAACCCCCAGACATGAAATGATATACATGATAATCTAAATATGGTGTAAACACATGGGTGACTCTGTGTGTGTGTGTGTGTGTGTGTGTGTGTGTGTGTGTGTGTGTGTGTGTGTGTGTGTGTGTGTGTAACTATAGTTTGGAAAATTAAATACGAAGTCTCACAGCCAAGATTTCATCCATATTTGGGCCTGATGGATTATGTAACTTTTTCTCTTGGATCTTGAGCTCTCCTCCAACGAGGAAGCACAAATACAAGTTATTCAAAGCCCAAAAGGAAGATGGCAGCACGTGTCAAATCTCTAGTTAAATATTTATTTTAAATAATCACTTTTGCAAAATAGAGCAAATGACAGTAAAGCCTGACAGACACAACATGGCAGTAAAGTGGATTTAGCACCACAGACAGATTCAACACATGGACAATATAATGGTGAGAAAGTGAAAATACAGATTCTTACCAAATGTTCTGTCAGCCAGGGCAGGTGAGGAGCAGAGGCTGACCGCCAATGCAGCGACGAGGACGGGACACCACCGTGAATCCATACCGCTCCTGCCTGTGTTCATTGCGGTGCTAATCCATCTCTTAACCCCGCTAGAAACGCGTGTTTTACCGCCGCCCCAGGTGTGAGCTGCTCGGTGGAGACTCTCGGATTAAACACGCATGTTTTGAGGGGGGGGGGGAAGCGCGAGAGCAAAAACAGAAATTGGTTAAAAGGCAACACAATTCAGGCGTTGTTTCAGCACCACAAACAGCAAGCAGCCTCACGGAGGAGCCCCTCCTAAGTTTGTGACGTCAAACACACATGGTGAGGAGGGACGATGTGTTCAGCATGCAACAGCGCCGGTGAGGATGGATGGAAGGATGAAGGAAGGATGGAGGATGGATGGAGGAAAGAAGGTAGTATGTAGAAAAGATGGAAGAAGGATAGATGAGAGATGAATGGAGGAAGGAAGGTAGTAAGGAAGGAAGGATAAACGATTGATGGAGGAAGGAAGGAAGCATGAGTGGATAGATGGATGCATGAAGGAAGGATGGAGGATAGATTGAGGAAGGGAGGGAGGATGGAAGGATGGAGGAAAGAAGGTAGTAAGGAAGGTAGGATAGAAGATTGATGGAGGAAGGAAGGATGAGTGGATGGATGGATGCATGAAGGAAGGAAGGATGGAGGATAGATTGAGGAAGGAAGGATGGATGATGTATGAAGGAAGGATGGAGGATAGATGGAGGAAGGATGGATAGATGCATGAAGGAAGGATGGAGGAAAGAAGGATGGATGGATGCATGGCAGAGGAGACAGGTGAAGCCTCCTAAACAGCAGAAAATAACTGAAATAAGCCGATTGATGAATCTGAGTATCTTGAGAGAAAATGTAAACATACGACTCCAGATGTGGATTCATGAGAGATGCATGATCACATATGACTCCCATCACAGCTGAAGAAATATTCAAGTGCTCAGTGTTTGCCCGGCCCTCGTGTGTCATTATTCATCTGGCCACACGAGGGTGCCAGCGTGCAGCTCTGTCCAGGTCTGGCAGGACGAAATGACTGAGGGGCTCTTAAAAATTCCAAGAGGGCATTTTCCCCCATAAAATGAAATAAATAAATGTAGCTTACCGACACATGAGCCCAGGGAGGAAGTCAGGGTGCTGAGGGTGCTGAGGGTGCTGAGGGTGCTACAGCGTTGAAGTGAAGTGGGTTTACAGCGTGAGAGGGAGAGACGAGCGAGAGTGATGGGCAGTACAGTTACACTCAGAGGTGAAGTGTAACCATGGTTACTAATGCTGTTATCTCCTCACTTTTAATTATTTAAATATTGTAAATAGTGTAATAAATTACAATTACAAAAAAACAATATCACAATGTAAATGAAGTGAGATTAAATAACTAAATAACATACAGTACATAAAGAACAAATGAAAGACAGTAATATACAGAATATAAAATAAACCAATGAAGACACATTTAAATAGTGAACTCATTATTTAAATAGTGAAATCTTTATTTAAATAGTGAAATCATTATTTAAATAGTGAAATCATTATTTAAATAGTGAAATCTTTATTTAAATAGAGGGGGAAAGGTTTTATAATAACGCAGACTTTTGTTATATTTTCTGTTGTTAATTTAAAGTAGTGATTTCAGTCGGGACTTTAACTCTAGATTAAAGATGTATTAAATTAATCCACACTCGTTTGTTTTGATTTGGAGGCGCACATGAAGTGACGATTTGATTTACATTTAATTTCGCACTGCATTGAAAGGATTCATCTGATCCATACTGCATGAAACCAGGAAGTTAGTATCCATACTGAAATGTTCAGTATACTGAGGTGGACCCAAAAAATGACCAATGAATGACCCCGAGGGTTCAGTCTACTGAAACTCCTACTGAAAAGTACTGACTACTGAACTGTGGATATTCAGGAAGGGCCAATGTTTTGAATTTGGTCTGCAGTACTCATTTTAAACACTAGGTGTCAGAGTTGCTCCTTTAAAGTGTCACAGACTCATCTCTGCTGTACAGCTGTAGATCGACTCTAATCTGGACAGGTCTGATGTTTTTAATGATACACATTCTTACTCCTGCTCGGGTCATCAACATTTTCTTGGTTCAGTTCTAGTTTTTAATTGTACATGTTTAATGTTGATCTCTGTAGAGGTTTCTTTAAATCACGTGTTGTCAGATGCAACAAAAGTTTCATGTTTGTGTCTCTAGCTGCTACTGGATGCTCTGAATTTCTCTCAGGGTCAATAAAGTATCTATCTATCTATCTATCTATCTATCTATCTATCTATCTGACGGTCCGTCTGTCAGTCCAGTCCTCCATTCCTTACAGCTTAAAGTCATGCATCACTGACGTATTTCTTCTATATTTGAACGAATAAGCTGAATAAGTCTTACTTTTCAAAAGTCCAACAAAAGCCCAAAAGGAGAAACGAAAAGGAACCACGAGGAGACACAAAACATAAAGAGAGGCAGAAACACAGAGACTAATCACAGAGGGCAATCAGACACAGGTGAGACTGACGAGACACAGGTGAGACTGACGAGACACAGGTGAGACTGACGAGACACAGGTGAGGACAATGAGTGCAATCAAAAAGGGAGGAAGTAACCCGAGACCAGAAACTTCAAAATAAAACAGGAACTGAACAAAAATAAACTTGATATTCAAATAGAGTTAGAAATCACTTTACATTTGAACTCTTCCTCAAGAATCATGATGTTCAACAGAATCAGAGGAAAAGCATCTCATTCTCTTTCATTCATTTGGTGTTTTGTGAAATGAGGGGAGTGAGGTATCCAGTGTTAATTCTTCAAACATTTTATTAGAGTCCTCTTTCCTTTAATGACACACTAAACAGAGCACTTGTCTCCTTTCCTTGTTAATCAATGAAGTCATTTTCAAAGCCACACAGCCTGATCTGCGTAATCTTCAGGCAGCGGTGGAACTGCTGACAACAACTATGGGCCACAAGAACCTTTTAGTTCTTTGAAGAGAAGTCCCTGGAACTTTTAGTTCTGGGGACCGTTGGTGGAAAAGGGGTTTTTCTCTCCAGCCTCGAGGCCGCTCGGTTCCCATCAAACTGTCAGTGATTGCAGGTCAGCACAGGTCCTATACAGATGAGCTGTGAGCCAGAGGGTCTTAAAGTAATATCCATGGACTGTGACGAGCAAAGGATCATATCTTATATCTCTTCACACACAAACCAACAGATCCTCACAGGAGCTTCAAATGTCTCTAAATCAAAATAAAACACGACTGAGAGCTGAGCACAACTGGATCCCACACTGAACTTTTGAACCCAGCTGATTTCCTGTAAATGGAGGAGGAGGGGCAACACTAACCACATGATCCAGGCTCATGAGAGGAGGTGGGACGGTGGAAGTGTTCAGTCAGTAAATACTCCATTTTGAATAGACAGCAGCAGAGAACTAAAGAGTGAAGCGGGGTGAGTGTTTATTCAGAGTTTTTATATCTTCACTTCTTTAGTCTCAGTTTTCTCCTGAGAACTGAACACAGAGAGTTTCAAATGAAGTCACGCTCGCCTCTTCTCTCAAGGTTAATTTCATCTAAACTACATGAGCTCGTGTACCGCTTGCAGCTAGTCTGTTTTAAAGGCCCGTCTTTATTGATTTCTGTGAAATGAAATTATGTCTCACTGTAAAGGAGAGCTACGGCCCGCTGGACACATCCTCTCAGCGCAGTTCATAATCCTAAACTAGGATCATATATCCCTTGTTATGTGAGATTAATGTGACTTGTGTGAGTGTGTATGTGTGGCATTCGATCAAACTGCTTTCTTTTGTTTCTTGTGTGTTGATCTCTCAGTGAGTGTTTCTGTTTTTTCCTCTCAGACTTCAGATCAGAACATGGACGTGTGTTTAGAGGAAGCGGAGGACGAAGCAGAGTCTCCAGACATAAAGTAAGCCTCCTGACAAAGAAACAAACCTGGAAACCTTCTCATCATCTACAGCTGTAGCCCTTTTTTGTATTTACAGCTTCTTTTACAGCATTATCATTAGAGAGTTGATCAAAGATTCATAGAAATATAAAACTTGTTGGTTTTTTCAGATTTGAGTGGAGCAGACAGAGAGCAGAGTCTCAGTGTTTCCTTGTAGGGTCGCTCAGTCACCTTGTAACGCTGTAATCTAATCTAAGAGGACTCTTACAAACCTTTGGACCTGCTCCTTATCCTCCTACTTCTCATTAGTACGTTTATTACCAACAGAAGATGTCGCTCAGCACGGCCCCTGTTTCAAAGAGTTTGTTATTGTCTCCGTTTAGTCTTTTCCATCATCATCTGATATGATTCTGTGTGGTCATGGTCATACAGAAGCAGAGAAACTGAGTGAGTTGAGGAAAAGTAGACATGGTGTGCTCTAAAATTAGAAGACAGCTCATTCTCCCCAGAAGCAGTTTAAAAAGTAGACCTTTTATTTTTCAATGTAAATAATCCTCGTCAGTCATGTTCCTTTGATCGTGGGATGGCCAGAATCATGATTCAAATAATATAATTTGTGCAGCTATAGTATAAAGACCCTCCTGCCAGGGACCATGATGTGTTCAGGTTCAGGTTGTGTCAAAGTCAAGGACTGCCTTTGATGCAGACTTGACGTCTGTGCCCTGTTACTGCTGATCCACCACAATGTAATTCAAAATGTTTCACCACGTCTAACCTTAGTTCAAAGGCCGACTAACCCGAGCCCAGCTGTCTGAAGTGACAGTGAAACAGTCGATGACAGGATCAGACTCTGTGAAGAAGCTGCACATGATGTTCAGTCTGCTTTAATAAAAAAAACTGCACACAGATCATTAATGTTACAAAAGACAGTGAGAGAGAAAATGTTGTTCTTTAGTCTTTATGAAAGCAGGAGGCTTAAAACACAAGAAACAATCATCTGACTGCAGACTATGAGCTGAATACAAAGAAGGCGTTACCTGCTCTCTATGATCATCTGAGTGTTTAGATCGTGTTTAATAAATCTTCATTTTTCTTCAAATCAGTCAACGATCAGTTTAGTTCTAAAGACATGTCTTCACAGGGGGACGAAGAGGACTCATGTTATAGAGGAGCAGCCGTCCTGTCCTGTGTGTCAGGACGTCCTGAAGGATCCCGTTTCTACCAGCTGTGGACACTGGTTCTGCAGACAGTGCATCACCTCATACTGGGACCAGTCTGGTTCACCACGAGACTCGTCCTGTCCTCAGTGTGGAAAAAGATCCAGAACAGGACCTGGACTGCAGACAGTCAGTCAGAGCAGCACTGAACAAAGTAAGACTGTACACCTTTCTGCTTCTGTGATCTCCTCCTAAAACAGGACTTTTATTGGTAAATGTAAAAAGTATAGAAATTAAAACTCTTTTTTACTTCTTTTACAAAAACATTTGAAAACAATAATCAGATTCTATCATTCTCTCTTTCAGTTGATAGAGGTCTGCAGGAGGTTACAGATGAACATAAGGTCAGTCTGAGGAGGAGATGTGAACGTGTGACTGAAGGAAGTGATGAAACAGGAAGTAGAACCCTCCTCAACAGGATCTACACTGAGCTCTACATCACAGAGGGACAGAGTGAAGAGGTGAACACCCAACATGAGGTGAGACAGCTTGAGACAGACTCTAAAAAGAAGACCCTCCATGAGACTCCAATCAAGTGTCAGGACATCTTTAAAGCCTTACCCGACCAACAGAACCAAAAGACAGAAGCTCAACCCGACCAACAGAACCAAAAGACAGAAGCTCAACCCGACCAACAGAACCAAAAGACAGAAGCTCAACCCGACCAACAGAAACCCATCAGAGTGGTTCTGACAAACGGGGTCGCTGGTGTTGGTAAAACCTTCTCAGTACAGAAGTTCACTCTGGACTGGGCAGAGGGCTCAGAGAACCAAGAGCTCAGTCTGGTGATCCTGCTTTCATTCAGGGAGCTGAACTTGATCAGAGATAAGGAGTACAGTCTTCTTGAGGTGCTCTGTGTTTTCCATCCAACATTACAGAAGGTCACAGCAGAGACGCTCGCTGTCTGTAAACTGTTGTTCATCTTTGACGGCCTGGATGAAAGCAGACCGTCATTGGACTTCACAAACAGGAAGGTTGTTTCTGATGTCACACAGAAGTCATCGTTAAACACACTGTTCACAAACCTCATCAAGGGGAATCTGCTTCCCTCAGCTCTCATCTGGATAACTTCTCGACCTGCAGCAGCCAATCAGATCCCTCCTTCATGTGTTGACAGGTTTACAGAAGTACGAGGCTTCACTGACGCCCAGAAGGAGGAGTACTTCAGGAGGAGGTTCAGTGATGATGAAGATCTGTCCAGCAGAATCATCTCACACATCAAGACATCCAGGAGCCTCCACATCATGTGTCTGATCCCGGTCTTCTGCTGGATCACTGCCACAGTTCTGGATCACATGATGAGCAGAGAGCAGAGAGGAGAGCTGCCCAAGACCCTGACTGACATGTACTCACACTTCCTGCTGGTTCAGACAAAGAGGAAGAAGAACAAGTATGGTGAGGGACTTCAGATGAGTCCACATGAGCTGATGGAGGCTGACAGGGAAGTTCTTCTGAAGCTGGGGAGGCTGGCGTTTGAACATCTAAAGAAAGGAAACATCATGTTCTACCAAGAAGACCTGGAGCGTTGTGGTCTGGATGTCACAGAGGCCTCGGTGTACTCAGGAGTTTGTACAGAGATCTTGAAAACAGAGTGTGTGATCTTCCAGAAAACAATCTACTGCTTTGTTCATCTGAGCGTTCAGGAGTTTCTGGCTGCAGTCTACATGTTCCACTGTTTCACCAACAAGAACACAACAGTTCTGAAGGCTTTTCTGGGGAAAAAATATGTAGATTCAACCCTTGATGTTCTCCTAAATGAAGCAATGAAGAAATCCATGAGGAGTAAAAATGGTCACCTGGACCTGTTTGTTCGCTTCCTTCATGGACTCTCTTTGAAGTCAAACCAGAGACTCTTAAGAGGCCTGATGAGTCAGACAGACAACAGTCTAGATATGATCCAAAGAGTCATCAACAACCTGAAGAAGAATAAGACCAATATCTCTCCTGACAGAAGCATCAACATCTTCCACTGTCTGACGGAGATCAACGACCTCTCAGTCCATCAGGAGATCCAAGAGTTCCTGAAGTCAAAGAACATATCAGAGAAGAGACTCTCTGTGATCCACTGCTCTGCTCTGGCCTACATGCTGCAGATGTCCGAGGAGGTTTTGGATGAGTTGGACCTGTATAAGTACAACACATCAGAGAAGGGACGATTGAGACTGATTCCAGCTGTGAGGAACTGCAGGAAGGCAAAGTAAGTCCAGATGTTTAGCGCATTATAATTGTCATGTACTAATTTACTTATTTTAATAAAAACTAAACAATATCCTCACTGTTCACAAAATAGTGTTCCACTGTTAATGTTCAGGAGAAATAGTCAGTCATAGTTATTTTCACACGTGAAGATTTTTTTACTTTTTGCCCTGAGTTCAAAAATAGATTTGATACAGTAGTTTTTTTTGTGAACACATTTAAGAGGGAATTCCCAAAGAAATGACTGAGATGGCTGATAGTGTAATCACAAGCATCATCTCTAAAATCTCAGCCGGTAGATCATAGAAAAACTGTTCTGGAAGGAGATCCTTAACCTCACTACATTTTATTCTTTGCTGATTTATTTGATTTCTGGATCATTCTGCAGCAGTCACTGTATTTTCCCGTTTATAGAAGAGAGCCAGACGGCACGAGAATGAGATCCTCCTCCTCTAGAGTTACTGTTCAATGAGTTTCAAATGGTTTTCTAATCCTGAATAGATCACACTTTAGGTCACAGACTATAGACATGATGTCATCCTCAATAAAACTACATTTGTTTCCATTCATCTGCAACATTTAGTGAATGATTGAAAGATGAAAAATGTGCAGGTTTGAAAACGAGTGATGAGACTTTTTGTGTCAGTGACAGATTCTACTGATGTGTAAAGTTAAGACCAAAAAGGACATGTGAGATGTATATATCAAACGCTGCTTTTGAGTCATATTTCTCTGTTATATGTGTCACAACAGACTTTATGACTGTGGACTCTCAGAGACTCACTGTGACGTCGTGGCCTCAGCTCTGAAGTCCAACCCCTCCCATCTCAGAGAGCTGAACCTGAATAACAACGTGACCCTGAAGGATTCAGGAGTGAAGCTGCTGTGTGAGGGACTGCAGAGTCCAAACTGCAGACTGGAAACTCTGAGGTCAGATCACTGACTGTAATATATATATATGTCTGTAATAGAAACTGTGTTTGAATGTATTAAAGGTTAGCAGCTTGAGATGCATCGTCTCATCTTTAAGGGGGTCCTAACACAAATATAAAGTAATACAGAAACATCCAAAACAGCATTACTTAACAGACACACTTACAATCACACAAACACAGACAGATATGAAATATATGATGGGATAGTTTTCTGCTTGAAGAGCTAAAAAATAAACACAAAGGAGGAAGGTCAGTCAGAGAGTTTATCATTAGAACAAGTTTAGATTGAGTTTTTATAACGTGTCTATATCCTGTCAAAGTATTCCAGATTTAGGAATCATCTTCATGCAGAGATTTCTGATAATGTGGAGAAAAGTTTCAAACTCTTCATGAAGATGAAAAACAACGTGCACATGAAGCCTCTGGTTTCCTCTTGTTCTGTTAAGAATTCATCTTTTATTCTTTATTCAGATTGAGTCTCTGCTGGTTTTACTTTGTCCACAGGGGGCGCCAAAACGGACATGTGATGAAAGTTCCTCACAGGAGCTTTGAGTGTTTGACTCTAAGAATGATCAGGAAGAACAAAAACATGAATGAATCACAATCAAGTCCTTAAATGTTAGAATGAACAGATGATGATCACATCAGTGTGTTCATGTGGACAACATCACACATTCATGCATAAAGCTCACTGTCATCTACATTTACATCTTTTATTCTTTATTCAGATTGATTTGCTGCAGTTTGTCAGAGATCAGCTGTTCTTCTCTGGTCTCAGCTCTGAAGTCCAACCCCTCCCATCTCAGAGAGCTGGACCTGAGCTACAACTTGAAGCTGCAGGATTCAGGAGTGAAGCTGCTGTGTGATTATCTGCAATGTCCAAAGTGCAGACTGGAGACTCTGAGGTCAGATCACTGACTGTGTCATTCATTTGTATCATTTCAATCCACATCCTCCATTGTTGCATATGTCAGGATTTTTTATATTTTCAGTATTTGTCTGAATGTAAATCTTGGGAAATTTAATAATTGAGGAGATTTTTATTTTTTTCACCTTCCTGAATGATTTAAAAGATTTGCTGTGAAAATGTTTTTCTGACTATGTGAAGTAAAGTTGAACAATGTGCACATGAAGCCTCTGGTTTCCTCTGGTTCTGTTAAGAAGTGAAATCATGAAGACTTTTGATTCAATAATGTGTGATTTGATAAATGTACTAACATCACAGACCTGACTGAGATCAGCAGCCTGTTCTTCATCTGTGCACATGAACAGCTGTATGAATGTTGTGCTGACATTTGGAGGATTTAGATTTAGTGAATACACAATCAGAAATGATCCTCATTCAGAGAAAACTTTATTCATCAGGACAAAGTGATGTTGACCTGAACACATGTGAGTGGATTATACATTATTTTTATTCTTCTTTTATTCTTTATTCAGATTGATGAACTGCAGTTTGTCAGAGATCAGCTGTTCTTCTCTGGCCTCAGCTCTGAAGTCCAACCCCTCCCATCTCAGAGAGCTTGTCCTGAACTTCAACGACCTGCAGGATTCAGAAGTGAAGCTGCTGAGAGCTCTTGAGAAGAATCCAAACTATCGACTGGAGACTCTGAGGTCAGTCTGTCAGTGTTCTTTAGTAAACCCTCCGAATATCAGGTCATAAAGAAAATTTAGATTCTTATGTTTTGTCGGAGAAATCCTTTTCTGGGGTCTATACTACGAAGACAGTTCAACATACCCAGGGTTTATTTTTCTGTTATCTAGCTTCACTAACTCTGACATAAGAGATTGTGCTGAACAGTCACGTGAAGCTGGTTATCAACCTGATAAGTAAACCCAGAGTTTCAGAGAGCACGTTCACATAAAAGGGGCGGAGTTAGCTTCATATGACCTATCACAATCATCACAGAGTCTGCCGTCAGCAGATCGTCATATCTAACAAACTCTGAACAAACTATATTACTAATATGAAGAAGTTTAAGACAAACAGGCTCCCAAAGACTAAAGTTACACAGCTGCAGGAACAACTGGCAGAAAAAAGAAACATCAGAGAGTATTAATGTCCAAACTACGGCTTCAGTGTTAAAGTACAAAGGTGGAGTGAGGGTGGAGCTTAGTTACAGCGCTGTGGGGGAATCTGATGACGGGGGTCTGTGTAGAAAATGATTTAAGATTTCTGTGATCTCTCTTCTTCTCTCATTAGATGCAGGAGATGATCACTGACAGAATGTGAGCCATCAGGACGCTGGTGGTGCAGAGAGGAGCAGCTGTGTCCTGATGATCCACAGAGGATGAAGCAGCAGCTCCACTGTCACCGTCTCCACAGAATTAACCCTGAGTGTTCCTCTGACGTGACAGAGTATCATCAGAGTTCATGGACTGCTCTGCTGCTGCTCCGTCCTGCTACACTCTCTGCAGACACACTGACACTCTTCTACACTCTACCACCTCCTCCACCTGGAATCTGCTTTCATTTGCTCTTTTCTTTTTCTTTTCTTCACAATATCTGGACACAAACCAGTCACCACCAAATTCTATTAATCAGAATTATACATTTAAAGACTTTAGTAAATATATTGATTTATTTTTCAGAGTCAACGAGAGCCCTGATTGAGTCATTAGTGCACTCCGCTCGCTCTGCCTCTCCCGTTACTGTTAACTGTGACACACGCATGCTTACGACATCCCTCCTGTAAACAATTATTTTCTGACCTCTCCTGTTAAATAATAACCTGTGCCGTGATGTAGGAAGTGCAGCTGTTTGTACCTGACCTGACCTGATAATCTGGTAATCATGCGTAACCTTCACCATAAACTCAGAGGCAGCCAATCATGGATCAGAATCTTCCTTAGTGATTCTGACTCCAGCCAATCCCTGACCAGGGATGTGTAGCCAATGAACAGCGCTCGTTCAGTGTGTGGAAATGCGCAAAAGCCTTAAGGGGAGTGGCCACACCCCCCAAAGTAAATGCAGATACACTGGGATCGTCTCAGTTCCCTTAATTGCATCCAAGCATCCTCCACTTGCGTCTTAGTCCCTCCCACCAGAGATGCACGGAGAGACGTAAGGAAACGAAGCAGAGGAGAGAGGAACGAGGAAATGTGTTTTAAGAGACATGACGTCCATTTGTGATGATGACATCAGCTGACCACCGCTCAGCTGTCAGTCGTCTTTAACAGCTGTTTGTATTATTTCTAATCAAATACACACAGTAACAGTGTTTAGTCTCTTTACCTGATTACCGTTACCTGATAACAAACACCTGCACAAGAATGACCTGCTGTCTGCTAATAATATTAATAATAATAAATTAGATAGCTCAGACAGGTAGGGGGGGAGCCAGGTTGTGGAGGGCTTTGTAGGTGATGATGAGGAGTTTGAAGTGGATACGCTGGGGGATGGGGAGCCAGTGGAGGTCATAAAGGACGGGGGTGATGTGATCTCGGGTGCGGGAGTGTGTGAGGAGACGAGCAGTGGAGTTTTGAATGTATTGAAGTTTCTTGAGTGATTTGGATGGTGAACCATAGAGGAGACTGTTGCAAGAGACTGTCTAATCTGGAGGTGATGAATGCATGGGTGAGGGTCTCGGCAGCTGAGAATGAGAGTGATGGGCGGACGCGGGCGATGTTTCTGAGGTGGAAAAAGGCTCTTTTGGTGATTTGTTTGATGTGTTTGTCATAGGAGAGGGTTTGGTCGAAGATGACACCAAGGTTACGGATGTGGGGGGAAGGGAGCACTGTGGAGCCATCGATGGTTAGGGAGAAGCTGTTGGTGGATTTGATGAGGGATTTGGGGCCGATGATAATGACTTCTGATTTGTCGCAGTTGAGTTTAAGAAAGTTGATTTGAAGCCAGGATTTTATTTCTGTGATGCAGTCAGTGAGGATTGAGTGAGCGGCAGGAGTGATGACTTTGGTGGCGATGTGGAGCTGGATGTCGTCTGCAAAGCAGTGGAACTGGAGTCCATGGCGGCGGATGATGTGACCAAGGGGGAGCATGTACATGATGAAGAGGAGAGGACCTGAGAGGTGATTTATGGAGAGACCTGTAGAACAGACTAGATCCAGGATGTGACCGCGGTTGTGGGTGGGGAAGTTGACATGTTGAGTTAAGTTGAAGCAGTTCAGTATTTCGATGAATTCAGTGGTTATTGTTGAGTTTGTGGAGTCCAAGTGTATGTTAAAATCACCGAGGAGGATGGAGGGAGAGAGAGCACAAAGCTGGGTCAGGAAGTGAGAGAAGTCAGAGAGGAATGATGGGTTAGGCTTGGGAGGGCGGTAGACAACAGCCATGACCAGCTGTGTGGTGCCAGAGTGTTTAAAAGCCAGTGATTCAAATGAGGGAGCAGGAGGAAGGGAGATGAGGCTAGTTTTTATGTCCTGTCTGTGTATGACTGCAATGCCGCCACCTTGACCCTCAGTGCGTGTTCTGTCTATGTAAGTGTATCCATTAGGTGTGGTCCGTGGGAGTGGACTAGCAGCTAGCTTGTGGAGAACGACAGTTTTTCCAGCAAAGACTGAGAACAGCGGGCCAATAGAGTGTCCAGGAAGGGGCTACCAGTAGTGGTGGATCAGCCGATTTTGTCGACTACCAGAGGATCCGGTAGTCGGTAGTCGGGGGCCGAAGGTCTGAAGCTATAAAGTGAGATTTAACCTTTAGGATTAAACTGAGGTTAAATCATAAGACACAAGAGACGGAGGGATAGGTCAAAGTAATACAGCAATAATCAAGAGTAGTCGACACTTAGGCTTAGCTGGAGAAGCGGCGAACAAACACGCCAGCAACTCGACCTCAGTGCTTTTAGGGAAATGTTAATGTAAATATGGGAACATGCGCTTAGTCACAAAGTAAAATATCAATTTTACGATGTTCACCTTTATAGTTTAGTAACTTTTAATAGTAGTATCATTGCTAATTCACTCTTACATTAAAAAAACAAACACACAGACCATTTCTACACAAAGCTTTAATATTTGATTATTTATTAGTTATTAGTTTTTACTGATAATCTGACAGTGAACTCTGTTTTTTATAAACACTTAGGATGTCTCAGGATTATTGACAACAGGATGCAGAACATTTTCAAACTCTACGATCGGTAACGATCATGATGAATGTAAAACGTGTTTCTGACTGACTCCTCCCACTCTGTCTGACTCATTCTCATCATGATTAAATTAAAAACAGCAAACAGTATGAGTGATCATGAAAATAAATATGAGCTGTTCTAATGATGACATAAGATATGGTGCTGAACGATATTGATATTATAGACTAATACTTCATATTTGGTTGTTACTCTTCATGTCAAACACTTCTTTAATCCCAGCTCATCACAGACTCTTTACAAACTGACACATGTTTACAGTCTGTTTGAAAGTCTGATGGTCCGTTTAGCCTCTTTTTAATGTCCGTCTTTTCTCCGTTATTAGTTTTTTCCAATTGCTAACACACTAAAATGAAATGCATAGCACAATTATTTAAACTGACACACAGAGAGCAAAACCTCTTCTCAAGTCTCCAAAAGTCTACACACATTTTCTGCTTTACACACATTTTGCAATTCAAAATGACACTTTTTAAATGCACTGAACACGGTTCTCTGCATAAGACACAACAATCAGACATAAAGTCACATGTTTGCCATTTCAAAACACTGCCATTCATAATGACACTACATGAGCTAATTGGCCAAACACCTCAATGGTTAATTGTTATCACTTCAATCAGGAAGTAAGCACTATGAAAAGACCACAAGTGAGCACCTTTTTTTTTACAACAATGGAAGACGTTGCAGAGAGAGGAAGAGGAAGAGGGAGGGTGAGAATGAGAGGGGGAGGAAGAGTGAGAGGTAGGGTTCGAGCTGGTAGAGGAGTTCATGGCCAAAGAAGAAAACAACTTTCAAATGAACTCAGAGCAACCTCAGTTGATCATGTCATCATGGGCTGACAATGTGAGACAGAGCGTACAGCCCAACTTGAGCCGTTTTACTGTCCTGGTATATGTAGCACTGACTTATTTGGTGAAAAAAATAAATGTTTCAACAGCATGTGTGTGTATGTCTGCAAATATTTCTGTGCATGTGAACAATCTGAAGAATTTTCTACAATTCTAACTATTTTTGTATAATGGAAAAGCATACTAAAGATGAGAGTGCTTTTCATTATGCCCAACAGTGTGTAGTTAGTTAGACAAAAATCTGGTAATATGAATGAAGTGTGTGCCATTTGGTGCAAAAGTTTGATTTTGATAATGCTACATGTAGTTTTGGTTGCAGTGCTTTTTGATTTTCCAGGATATATGAGGTATATTGCAGTTTGTGGTTTTGTGAATTGTGTTAAGTATTTTGATAAAACCAGCCTAGTTTGCAAAATTGGGTTTTAGCAATTGAAAAAAAACTGTAATGCACAGTATCTTCTGTTAACATGGCGTACTATACAAGGAAACTGTCTCCTAGATGTTCTACATGTAGTGTAAATAGTGATATCAGTTCACACAGACTAAAATATTTTGTGCTTGCAAGAATTCCAGTTTCCAAACCTGAAAATTGAAAGGACCACATTTGAGAATTTTGGTAGATCGTCCTTTTATTAACAATTAAAACCCTTTATGCCACTTATATGTCAGTTCACAATTAAGACTCAGTAGCATTTCCCAAAATATAAGCACTTACAGTCCAATCAGTAATGTATGGCCCTAAAGCCATCTCCTGCTAAAGCAGAAACATTTTTTCTCAGCTATACGGAATATGTGGTAAGGGCTTCAGTATAGTCCATACTGCAGCTATAGCCCAGCTATTTTGTGGCTGCTGTAATCCATTTATTGTTCCACAGCCTGTTGTAGATAAACCTGAATGTATGGGTCACCGCATGAATAAATTGTTTGCCTGGCCTCCGGAAACACATTTAGTTCCCTGTCTTCAAGAAAGCAAATCCACAGTGCCTTGAACCAAACCTGCAAATTCAGACAATTATAGAATTACGAAAAGGTTTTTACCAAGATTTTAGAAATGTAGTTTGAAATGGCCATTGTTAATAAGATGTGTTTGCTTGTTGATCTACATAAATGTGAAAGTAAACAAAGGCAGGACAACTAGCCTATAAATTATGTTAAATACTATAATTTACAAAAATATACAATATTCCAAATATAGTTACCATAACGAGTGCAGTGCAATTTGTTATAATACAATATTCAGTTTATGATCATTTAACTCTGAGTTGATGTGGATTACCTGTGAGGCAACAAATAGAGTTTATTTGGAATCCCTCCAGGACATGAGGCGAGTCTGGATGGTCGAATCCTGTGCTTGTTCCAGAGGTCCGAACATTCATCCGGGTCTTTCTGCAGAACATTACTGAAGCACAATCTCAGTAAGCACTGGTGTTCATGGCAACCGTTGAAGTGTCCAGAGTCTCTTAGGTCTCCAAACAGGTCCATCTAAAACTGAGACCTAGGAATACATTAAATGCAAAGTTTTTTTTTTTTTTGTGTTTTTTTTTTTACACACGAGGAGAAATGTTTAATTGATTAAATAATCTAGAGGGCTGAGATGAGGAATGTTATCAGCATTTTGAAGAGTGGTCTGAAAACAATAATTCATAATAGTGAATATTGAATAATTGATCTGATCACTAGGCAATACATAGTTACATACCTTCATCTTCTGAAAAAGGACCACCAGGACTCGATACGCTGATTCCCTGTTGATGAGTCATAACTGTGGCTTGACGAGCCTCCATAGTAGTCCGTGTGTGCATGGCAGAGGACACATTGTGTTGCTGCCATTGTCCCATGTTCTGCTCCGAGGTCAGTTCTGAATCTCATTGGGATCACACCAACACTTCTAAAATACAGTTAATATAATTGTGAGCAATGACGGATGGGTTGTTGTTAGTATTTCCACAAACAAGCCACATTATTCTTCTTGAAAAGCCATCTATACATCCTGAGAGGGCCGATCCAAAGGGTTTCAGTTTGTCATCTGCATGCCATCTGTAGTTCAGACTCATGGAATGATCCGTGCGTCTGGTAAACCTCCGGCGTGTTCTCAAAGCCGTCCCATGTGGATTTAATTGTTTCAACAAGCTCATTACTGCTTCTCGTTTCACACGTAGTTTGTGTTTTTGTTGAAGAACTTGCCACATAGTCCGATAACCGAAGAGTTACCCTGCAGCTCAGTGTGAACCTCGGCTAGTGGAGAATAGTTCCGTCTGTACA